TTGAGGATACACAAGAGTGAGTTTGTGGGGGAAAAAAAAAGGTTCGAATGGATGATCCCGCGCACGTGGGATGATGTTGGGAATTTGTACGTAAAAATGCGCGTCTTATCGGACGATTCGAGAGCCCTACACGACATAAAGTAGCGACTTTGTGTAAGCGAAGATACCCGGGCGTGTTTTTGGTGCGATATGATATTTTTTTTTTTTTTTTTTTTTTTTTTTTATAAAAAAAAGACAACTGTACTTTGTGACTTCCGATGCTGATTCAACCGCCAGCGAATGCATAAGTGTGTATATGTAGCAGTAAGAGTAATACTTGGGTGAAAGAAAAAGAAAAATTGTGACATGAAATTTTGACGTCGGCCGGTATACAAATGTCCAATCGCCCACGTGTGAGTATTGTTCGAGAGACGCATGGCCGAGGTATCACGTCAAAGTGCAGATAAGACTGTTTTGTAAAACGTAACGTACGATCGAGTCGTTATTTAATAAATTTCTAATAACGCCGATACGGATCAAAATACCTACTCCACGATAAATGTATGCTTGTAATGAAATGTATGACTCTTACGTTACATACCTGTGAGTTTACGAAAATATGGGAAAATCATGTAAAATCGTGCGGGTAAATTGGACGCAACGAAAATCATGACATTAGGAAAACTATGGATAATCACGGCAATCTCACGGTACATGAGATAAAGAAATGCACTCCTCGCCCGAGCAAATAATACCTATCGAGACTGCACATGTTGCGGCGTGGGCGTACATAATCGGGTTAAAAGACAGCGTCGTTGCTCACAGCTATGCAGTTACAACTATGGTTGGTGCTTCGCTTGAGCAACGATTGCAGCAAACCCTTGGAGCGTGCAATTTTCCAAAATCATTGTAACACGTGTGCATTTATTTTATACATATATATGTATCATTGTACACGTTTTGCGGTGTGGTTCATCGGCGCAAGGCCCATCGGAGCCCAAACGAAGGTCCCTCGAGGAAGGGGGCCTGCGCGCCCGGTGCGATTATTAAATTTGCATGGCGCAATTTATACGGCGGGAGAGAGTGGCTCTCGATCACGATAGCATTGTGTCCCGATACGTGGCTCGTGCTCGCGGAGAACAAGAAAAACAAACAACGCAGGACCCGCGTGTGCCGCTCGTAATTCATTTCGTAGTTTTTTTTTATTTTTTTTTTATTTTCAATTTCGTAATCGCGTGCACTTTTTTTCCGCACAGCCTCTCTCCCTTTCTTCCGCCCACGCGCTTTTCGTCCTGCGAACAAATAAGAAAAGGGTTTGATAAAAGGTTAAAACGATCACGTTATGAAAAAAAAAAAAAAAAAAAAGTAGCTAAGCTCGAACTTTCTATCGTCGCTCTCTTTCTCTCGGAGAGCTCGTTTGTTCCACGCCAAAAACGCGTCCATGTGCTTCCCCGCAAAGGTCCGAAATACATATAAGTATAAAAATACAAGATAAGCATCATCGTAATGCACATATAACGTGATGGGTATACACTCACAGAGGAGGGTAGATATACCTGTAAAAAAATACTCTCCACGCCAAGGTAGAGGAGGAGGTAATAATATTTTCCGCGGCGCGTGCGACTATATAACATGCACGGGTCGCGTAAGGGCTCGGGGATTCAAAGTCACGATAACATCATAATCTCGGGAGGCGATCAAGGGGGGGGGGCAGCGAGGAAAGAGAAGGATGCGTGTGTACGAATTACTCGAGAATTACGAGCAAAGAACCGAAACGAGCTAGCGGAGGGAGACCTCGGCTCACACGCTGGCGCGCGAGACTTATAAAATACACACTCCGAGGCTGTACAACTTGGAAGTGTATGGGCACGGGACGCATACGCAAATAGCGCTGGTGGTGGTGGTGGTGGTGGTGCCATAATCGGCGCTCGCTCGAGCCCTCGGGCGGCGGTACGGTAATAATTCACCTGCTCCTACACGCAGCCGTGGTGATGCTCGTGTACACCCGCGGGCCATCGATGCCGTAATACGAGGAGTGAGGTATCGCTGAGCTAATTATTTTATCATTGTAACCGAGTCTCTGGCCGCTGATCTGTATACTTATACGGCAATATTATTGGACCTTTACCCGATGGTTTTTTTTTCGATCCGATGACAAGAGCATCATTGTTGTGAGCTCCTTGAAAAAGAGTCACAAAAATGGTAAAGTGCATGGAGCTGGAAAATTTGGAAAAAACAAAGGGACGGTCGAAGAGTCGTGTCAACGCACCGCGATTAATCACGTCGGACGGGCCATTTTTCCCGCTGCGCTGCGTTTTTTGTTGAATCACGAGCCATTTAGCCGTGACACACGCTCGCGCCTCCCCCGCACGTGTATACACGTGGACGCGACGAGAACGGAGAGACGAAAATAAAGAAAAAGAGAGAGAGAGAGAAGAAAATCCGTAACCGAGTCGGTTTTAAGGAGCCAGAGAACCGCTCGCTGAAAAATTACGGCTTCGATCCGCGATACGGCAATAAAGTCGCGGTGGCGGTATATTCGCACACGTATATGCATACACGTCCACCAGAAATCCGGATCAAGCTCGCGTTCATGCACATACATACGTATATCGGGCGAACGACCCGGGGACTGCTCTTCCTCCTCTTGTGCCGTATATACCTGCAGTCATTAGTCGTCGTGGTGGTGGTGCGCACGCCCTCGTTGTTGCACCGTCGCCAACTGACGCGAGGAGCAAAAGTGTGTGTTTGCACATACGTCCTGTAGGGCCCTCAGCACAATGGGGCCGGTCTTCCGGCGCCGCCTGCAAAAATTAGCGAAGGGAAAAAAAAAAAAAAAACAAGATGAGCAGGAAGGGCCAAGCAAAACACGTCGATCTCTTTCATCTCTCGAGCGAAATGTGTAAAAAGTGCCCATTACCATTGAGCCCTTTATACTCGGGTTGGGGCAAAAAAACAAATCGACTCGACACGCGGGGAGAAAAAAAACAGGAAGAGGAGAAAAGGTCGCATCGGTGAAAGTGCAGCAGTAGTTGACCAAAAAGGGGGCCCATGATGACGAGAGAGAGTGCATTGTGTTGCATTTGCAGGGTGCATGGATTGTCTTTCTTTGGGGAGTTGCGGAATCATCGTGACCCACGACGAAAAAGGTGAGGAGAGGGCGGCTCCTCCTCGTTCCGGTACGTCTCGGGCCTTTACGGACGCGCATCACGAGCGGACGGTCACAGCCCGCAAGGAGCGTAGTACCTATATATACGTGGGATGATTTATATGTGCACGGCTATCGCGAATCTTTCGCAGCGGGACTCTCGCGTGTGTGTACATACGTGGATACGTGGGACACTGTGGGCCTGAAGTCACAAAGGGTAACTCGAATTCGAGTCGTTTGAAGAAGAAAAAAATACGTGACTCAATTTCTTGTGATATTGTTGCAATGAATAATAATTTAACACGCGATGTCGTTAATCGAGGGTGTATACCGGCTTGCCTTGGTTGCACCTTCCGATTTTACGCCGTGCAAACGGATCCTTATTTTTTTTTTTTTTTTTTTTTTTTTTTTTTCCCGCAAATATCAACGTGTGGCTTTAAAATAAATATCAGGTTAATCGTTTTGTCGGGAAAAAAGTATGAATTAGCGATTATAATTTTTGGTCACGTTATATTAAGCGACTCGAATTAATGACTAATTTGGACTTTTTTTTTTTAGCATGCCACACGTGCTCTGCGCTAATGATTATCAATTGAGTTTGAGTATCACTACACATGCGTAAGTTACATAAATTCCACTAATTTCCTTTGTTGAATTGATGAAAGTTAATAACTTTCGTCTACGTGTCAGAATACTAAACTCTTTTTATATCAAGAAAGTGCGTTAAAGGAGAACTGGACTCACTGAAAAATAATTAAGGAATCTAATGGAATTTTATAAACAACATGAAGTTGTTCAATATGGTAGGACTTATCACTTTCCACAATTCATTTGGAATGCGTAAGTATCATCCGTTTTTACAAATAGGATACTACAATTGTGACATAAATTTAACGTCATGCCTTTGATCAAGAAAATAAATTTTTCTCGTTATTGTAAGCCAAGTAGTAGTTTTTGTAATTGATGTAATGTTTCCGCTTTAGCAAATATTACAGGACTTTTGGAGGTTCCATAGTATTGTACTGATAGGACAGGTATCGGCTGCAAAAAACGTTTTCCCTACAAAGAGCGCAACTATCGGATAATTGTCTTGAATAAATGCCGAATTGAGAAAAAGTGGAAAAATTTTTTGTGTTGCACCTTAAAACAATAGAAAATTCCGGTAGTTTTGTCTCGTTTGTACATTTACATGCTCAGGCGGAACATTATCAGCTCAACCAATAGAGAAATACATAGATGTAAGTATGATATCGGGATATAATGAAAAGCAACATTAAGACCGTCGCGACGCTTTCCTATCTCTCATGGCATCAAGGCACAAAGTCCCGAGAAACAATTTTTAAGTAATTAACGAGTGTCGCTGCCTCCCTTCCTCGAACCCAAGAACTCACCGATTCCTCCCCACTTGAACACCTACGGCTACCTCGTGATAAGATAAAAATTGTAGCCTCGGCAGTACCTCTGTAATATTCATCGTTATTGGTCTACCTATAAAATGTAAAGACAATAATTATATTAATTTTTTATTGCTTGCAAAACAATGTTCTTTATTAGCTAAACTTTACGTACCTACGTCTTGTACAAAGTAATCGATTATTCGACAATTGTAAGATCTATGATTGAGCGAACGTTGACTTGTCTTATTCTTTTGGGAATTTGTCAAGCGAAGCAATTACCATCACTAAAAATATAATCACACGTTCAGTTGAACGCGTTAACCATAAAGTATTGTGTTAACGAATGTCATTAACAACAAATAAGTGCACGCCTTTATTATCTTATCCCACAACTTTTGTGGGTCCTAAAATACGGTATGGCGAGTAGTATAACGCCTACGACTATACGATCCACATCTTAAACAACTACCATAGCCATGTTCGACTTTGACCTCACGTAAGTTTTCGAGTTGCATTTTTTACTAAATTTTAGGACAAAATATATAATAAGAGGTTTATCAAGAGAAGGGCATTTGAAAATGCTTTTAAAAATTATTAAAATATTTATTTATTTGTGGTTTGTGGACATCAAATTGTTTTAAATATAAATATATCAAAAAAACATCCTTTTTTCCCCCTAAAAAATGTCACAAGAAGAGTACATTTGCAATTATCCAATAGCAGTTGAAGAAGCAAAGCATATCTCCTGGGAAGTAAGAAAATTCAATAGCTCCAGGATATAAAAAGGTTTCGGCTGATGTGATGATAATAATAATAATGTTATGCTCCTTTGACAATTCTTGCATTATCTTACTGTCTTAAAATGTTTCACCAATAACGGCCCGTATTTCTTTAATCTACTTATCCGAAAAATGTACGATTTTAAAATGAAATTCTTCTCTTTCGGACCAAACGACCGATTGATCCCATTTTTTCTCACTAGATAAACCATTTTTATGTCGCAAAGTCAAATTAACTATAACCCTTTTTATCACGGATCTAAATTTTGTCTCCAAGTATCCATAACTAAAATGTTGTCATTGATCTCACTTGTTAAACAGTGATTACAGGATATTCTGGATACTGGGTACCGTAGTTATGGCTTTGCTGATAATATTCGGCAACTCAATGACAATATTGACCTTGTGGCTCAATCGTAAAAAGTTCAGCGTAACCTCCAACCACCTAATCCTCAGTCTCACCATCTCAGACTTGCTCGTGGCTCCTGCGCTAATTTATAATATGATATTGCTCTTCAGTCCAGAGCTCGACAACAAGTTCTCGTGCGTACTTAGGTGAGTAAGAAAATGACATTACACCGACTTTTCATTGCTTAATTTTTTTACGCGCTTTCTCGCTTGTACAGGTACGTATTCCTATCAATGGCCTACACTTCGGGGTACTACAACATAGTGGCAATAGCCATTGACCGGTACATTTCGATCATTTATCCACTCCAGTATCCAGGAATCGTGACCAACAAGTTAATCTGTACAATGATATCAGTCATTTGGAGCGCATCTTTCCTCATATCCACGGTACCTCTCTACTGGAACGCTTACACGCCCATGGGTGGCTGTAAATTGTGCACGGTCGTTCCTAGGTACAAGATCGTACAGTTTATATCTTAAATGTAAAAAATACGTAAATCCATCGCCTATGTATCACGCCATTGTTTGATTTTGTAGGGTATACATAATGGCGATTGTGATACCTAATTTGGTGGCAGTGTGGCTGGGTATTTCGATTCTTTACTGGCGAATTTGGAGAGAAGCCAGGTCGTTCACGAAAAGACTGAGTATACGGTCCAGAGGAATGGGTCAGGTGTGCAACGCCACCAACAGGAAGAGTAATCAGGTATGCATATTATATACACGATCACCATTTTTCAAGTATATAATATCTATCTAATTGTTGTATTCAAATCGTTGGTTCGTCCAGACGGTGCTTGCAATCTTGGGCTGTTTCTCTTTCTGCTGTTTGCCGGTGATGGTCAGTTTATTCTTGTACGTGTTCCAACAAACCTCCACGCCTAGCGACATCGCGTTTTGCGCGTCGTACTGGATAGCGATGTGCAGCAGCTGCGCCAACCCGTTCATCTATGCCTGGAAAAAGCCAACTTATCGCAAAGTTTACACGAAATTGAAGAAGCTGTTTCACAGAGTTCACGATGCGGCGTCCAAGAATGATATTGAGAAACAGGTGGGGCCGCCGAAAAATGTGGCCGAGGGCCAGGTATTTGACAAATTAAGGACAATATCCGCTGTTGTCGACCAAAAGGCTTTCCAACAGGGCAGATATAACGTTTTAAAAATTTGATGAACATTTCATTTTCTTGATAGTAGATAACAGATTTGTATATTTAATTATTAATTTACTACTCAATCTAGATATTCTAGATGTAGTGTTGTGAAGTGTATATAGGTACGCTTATAGGTACAGATGCTCGTGGTGTCAAACAAACGTATACTGTTAGCCTTGTATTTTTATAATTTTAAATTAAAAATAGAATTGCGTCGATCTCATTTCTAATTTGCATAAAAATAGCGATTAGTTGTAGTTCAGATCCCGTACTATTGTACATAGGGTTTTGCTGCTCTGCGAAATATTAAATAGTTCGTTTTACATACAATGTATGAATTTTTAATAAAAATTTTTAAAAAATTTCCTGTTTTCAAATAAGCCTCGTTCCGAATAGTCTTTTTCCAAATGTATTTTTTGTTAAATGCATTATTCCTTCCCAACAGCGATAATGCACGTATTAGTGGAGTCTATAATAATTATTACAGGTATTCTATCGATACGAATACAAGCTTGAAAGCCTGAGCGGCTGTTAGAATTTAACGTACATCTTAATAACCTGATATTGAAGTTACATTCGAACAAAAGGCTCGAAAATTCTTTTTTTATAATTCCTCATAAAAAATGTAATAGGTGCACTGATAATGCTAATTGGTAAACTGTAGAAGCTATTTGCAAGGTGGCACCAAGTCGAGATAAACAAAACAACTTTATAAATTTTTAAAGTATACCTAATTACCTTCTATGAATGAACTTCGACGAAGCTATTTAGTATTTTTCTTTTTTTTTTTTCCTCATTTCAACCGATAGTACGTTATAGGTAAAAAATAAAAAATTGTAAAAAAAGTTTCAAATTTCCTGAATGTTGAAACAACATAAATATAATCTACCAATTGACTTTTCGATAATACCGTTGTTTGGAAGAAAGCAAAAATCAGATTCTACGTAAAATTGTACGGCTCAATTCCTAAGAAAATGTGTACAAGTGTTATCTGCTAATAAGCCAATCAACGAAAAACCCATACTTGTTAATTGTTAAAAAAATGGCACTACTGCTTTTGGCTTTTCAAGTGCTGAATCGAAATCTCAACGATACCATCAGCACACTCTTATACATGAAGGACTAAGCCATAGGTGTGAGCTTGATTCTTCTGTTTCTCGAAAAGTTGCAGCTTTTGAAAAACCTTTGGTCACCTCGTGTCAAGATTTAAGCCACGGACCCATGCATAACGATTACAAAGCTCGGGTTCGACGGCCAACAGTGCCTCCCCCTCCCCTTCCCCACTTCTCTCTTTCTCCGTGACACAAAAGCATTGTTTTGTCACTGCTCCGATCCAGCAGCTGTTGCTCTCGCCCACGCTGTTACCCGCTACACAATGCATCACATAAATGCGGTATACATAGCGGTGCGCGCGTGCTCGAGCCCTAATGTATATGTGTAGGGTGTATACGTGGAGGCGCACGAAGGAGGTCCACTCTGTCGCCGGCTGCATCTTTCTTTGCGCGTGTATACAGCATCTCGGGCTGGCTCTTCTTTTTTTTGCACCTCCCGCGCCGTGAAGGGGACGTCATCACCATAATTCATCTTTATGGGCTGCTTTTCTTTTTAATTTCGCGTAGACCCCTCATGCACATACACATGCGTACGTACACATATATATATATATATATACACGTGTACAGCGTGTCCCACCACAAGAGGAGAAGTGCACTCCAGACTCCCGAGTCCTTCTTCCACTTGGGCCGACTCTTTACTTTTGTTCTCCTTCTTTTTCTTCTTTCACTTTGTGTCGTGTTTTTGCCTTCTCCCCGTGTAAGCTTACTTTTCTTTCTTTCCTTTTTTTTTTTTTTTTTTTTTTCTCTCTCATTTTGCCGTCCTCTTCTGCGTCCTCCTACGGTTCGCCGGTGACACAAAAGGGGCCCACCTCCTGCTGCTACTCTGCGCTAATTGTTCGCGCGGCAAAGGAGAGCGCGTCTAATAATTAGGGGTTGCACAGCCTCTCGCTTCCAAAGTCACATGTTGTTGAACAAAAACCATCCAGCAGTCACATCTAGTTGTGGCGTTGAAAAAAAAGGTTCTTACTTTCCGCGCGACTTTGTGTCCAATCAAAATGGCAAACTTACAATCCGAGATTACATCGAGCGGATTCCATTTTTGCAGCACAGCGTGTATTAACGATTTCGCGAACTGATATGAAAAAAAGAAAGAAAATACCCCGTCAACTCTACCGTTATTGTAGCGAGAGCGCGTCAACCGCGGAAAATGTCCCCGTGGAGAATTCGACGCGTCGTGTGTGTGTGTGTATAAATACACGGAGCCCAGCGTAGCGGAAGAAAAGTCGAGATACTCCGGTTTTCCCTGCGCGCGGCCGCGCCTCGAATTTCCGCGTGCCGAGGCCCGAAGAAAAAACAATCGTCATCCGAGGAGGTTTCCCGGTATTTCCTTCACCTGTGCCATCCTTGGGCAGCTCGCGTAGCGCCAAAAGCCCACGGGAGCCATTACGGAACAAAGGGAGAAAAAAAAACGAAGGGACGGAAATATTTATTTGCGATTCCCGTTGATGCGAAGGAAATTTTTCAATGTCGTTTTTGAAAAAAATGAAGCAGAGCTCATTAGCGCCCGAGAAACGTGTGCTTTCTCGAAGCAAGTGGGGTAATTAGCGCGCGGTTTACATAAACGATTCGATAAAAAGTATGTACGTACCCGAGTGCAACAACGTTGTATTTAACAACTCAAGTGCTATAATATCATGTATCCTGCACTGGACGTTATTAGACCACTGCTCGATGATGACGTGCGTTGACCAATTTGCTGCTAATGTGTTGCAAAGTTGTAATCATCGATCGACCGAAAAAAAATTAAAAAATAGTAAAAAATAGTAATAAGCGACGAGTTTTTGTTTCCCTTGGACAGCTTCGCGCATATTGTATATACGCGTATCCTCCTCAACTTGCGCTTACAGTAATGACGAGTGATTGTTGAATGTTTATGCTCTCTGTTTCTTTACTTGCGGGGTTGGGGACCGTAAGGGACAATCAAAGTACTAATTCACTTGCGACTCGGAAAAACGAGTTTTGATTAATCGAATATACGAATCACTCATCGGGACGAGTACTGTCGAATTCTCAATCACAATTGTACAAGTAACCATACGGTCTCCACCTCGATGCACCATAATTCGCGCGCTAGAGCCACGAAATAAGTAAAGGAGAAACGGAGACGTCGCAATGATAAATTAAACAAACGCTCCCCTCTAACGAGATGTTTTGAAAAAAAAAGAAAGGCGGCCTCCACGCGTGCGCGTACAGGTATATCATTCGTATATTAGCATATATTATACGCACACGCGTAACGAGCAAAGAAATGCGAGAACCGCTGCAACCGTACTTGTTATACGGTGCGCGCGAGCCGGAAACTCGCCGAGAGCGTGTGACAGGGCGTGCGGGGCCCTCTCAGCGTGTGGCACGAAAATTTGATTAATCGCCGGCGGCAACAAAGCCGCGCTCGTCCAGATCCTACATCTACGGGACCCAAGGCCGGGAGGAGCTTGACCTTGACACCCCATGCGGCTAGTATATGTATTACACGCTGCACTGAGTTGCATCAAATTTTCCACGGATTTGCTACTTTTTCCTCTTTACTTGATTGAAGCGGTATACACCTTTAACGCAAGCACAGCCTTAAAAAGGCCCGAGAGCGAGCACACAGAGACTCCATTAATTGTTGGCTCCCAAAGTCAATGTATTGTTTTTGATGAAGTAAGACAAAGGTAAAAACGAGATTGGGAAGTTAATCATATGTAACCGTGTAATTTACTGTAAAAATGTACAGTGCAATTGTTTTAGCTACGCTAGTATTCGTGATCATCCGTGGTCTATGTGTTAGTTTTCGTTAAAGTCTCCACGTTATGCGCTACTTCTTGTAAAATGTATAAACTACTGATTGCCTCGGATTACCTCATAAGAGTCTGTACGTTGTGCTATTATTTCATAAGAGGCGTCTAAATGTTGGTAACTACAAAAGATAACCATTGACTCGTATCAAGCGTTCGCATAATGTTGGATATGAAATGCTGTATTTTAGATGAGACTGTAGTATACAGATAAGATTCTTTAATGCAGTATAAGAAGTTGGCACCCCCACGACACCGCTGCATTATCTAATCACCGATGCTTAATTACTTCCTGCTCTAATTTATTAAGATTTTNTTACATTGAATGAGTCACTCTGATCAAATACAAATAATAATAATAATAATAATAATAATAATAATAATAATAATAATATACACAAACGATATGCAACATGCAATTGTCTGCGAATATAAAACTTATTTACTCGATGAATATGTATAACGTGGCGTCGGACTCGACTTTTCAAACAAGTTGGCTACGTATACCCTAACGCCAGACAATGACGCAATCCTAAATCCCGCGAGTTACCACAATTGATATGATGCAACGTCACTTCCACCATGCATATATGTATATATAACGTTTACTCAAAAAAAAAAAAAAAAAAAAATTGCGCGAGCGCTTTTCCGCACAAAAGGATCCGCTACGCGTGACGTGTGCACAGGAGCAGCTCGTAACGTTCGCCATCAGGGGAACTCTGAGTTCCCGGAAACTTCCACGAAGGCCCCTCGAGTCATCGTCGTACCGTACATAAAACGTGTATATGCAAAAGCTCCGCAAGCGACCGACTGCGCCTCCACACCTATATACACGTATACAATCGGAAGGCCCGGCGAGCCGGTCCGCGCATAAGAGAGGCCCAACCACACAAATTGTACGCTATATCGCGTTCGATGCGCTGGTACATAATAGGTACTTACTGTCGGTGCGAGAGACACTCGGGCGTCACCTTTGTCTCGACTTTAATTTCACACCCCTTGCCCCCTCGCCCCTTTGCGTTAGTGCATATGTCCTTTTTTTTTTTTTTAAACCGTTGCTCGGGTCGTCGGGTATTTTTTTTTTTTTTTTCTACCGTCGAAACGACGTTATCGAGGCTGACACGC